ATAACAAAACAACAACAACAATAATGATAATAATAATATTAATAATTGATTAACTTAAAGTTAAGTGTTTTAAGTATTAATTTAAATTTCAAAGTTTAGTTTGTAAAATGAAACAATGATATTCAAATTGAAGAATAAAAGTAATAAATATAAAAGGTAATTAATTGGTAAATTAATTATTATAAGTGTTATTTTCAACATTTAGTTTTTAATAACTAGCATTGTTAAAATATAAAATCTAATTAGATATATTATTTAGTGTATGGAAAAATTAGGATGTTACAGCCTGACATTTGTACGTGTTTGCCTCTATGCCTCTTTTGGTGAGCATAAAACCCAATAATTTGCCTGCTTGCACGCCAAATGAGCATTTGATAGGATTCAAACACATGTTGTAACTCTTGGCTAACCCTAGGATATCTTTTAAGTCCGTTGTGTGACTCTTCCCTTCTGACGTCTTCATTATCATATCATTAGTGTAAACCTCCAGGTTGTGCCCTATCTGCTTTAGGAACACAACGTCCATGGGACTCTGATAGGTGGCTCTTACGTTCTTAAGCCCAATGGACATGAAGTTATACTAGTAATTGCCATGATTGGACATGAATGTTGTCTTAAGTACATCTATGATGTCCATCTTAATCTAGTTGTATCCAGAGTAGACGTTCATAAAACATAACTTTTTGTAACCTAAAGACCCATTAATCATGCGATATATGTTAAGGGGTATGGATCTTTGGGGTATGTATTGTTGAGATCAGTCAAATCAACACTCATACACCATTTGTTTGATGCCTTTTGCACCAAGACCATATTAGCTAGCCACGAAGGGTATTTGACCTCTATTATTAAACTAACGCTTGTTAGCTTATGTGCTTTTTCGTCAATGGTTGCTCTCTTCTCCTCGCCAACCTTATGTTTCCTTTAATATACTATCTTGAATATGTGATCTATGGCGATGCGATGACATACGGACCTGACATTTATGCCAGGCATATCTGAGGGCGCCCAGACAAACATGTTGTTGTTCTTTTTGAGTAGGGCAACCAAATTCTCCTTTTTAGACTCATACAAAAATGTGCCTAAATTGGTGATGCAAAAGCCCAATATGAACCTCTTTTAAATCTTCAGTTGGGTTAAGCCTTTCACTCTCTACATATAACCTACGATCCCATCTTGCTGTATTTGCGTCAACTATCTCTAGACTAGGGATGACGCCCAGGCCGGCAGGTTCCCTCGTTATTTCCAAGATACTATGGTATCTTTCTAGGGTGACCGTCTTGTCCTCTTTAACTGTATCAGTGCACCTAAAAAGTTAAGGGTGGGCTTTTATATGATGGCATTGTAAGGGGGTGTGGTGTATACCACAAGATACTTCACTTTGATGGTTACACTGTTCACCCATGAGTCGACATTATTTTGAGTGTGACGTGGCCCTTGACTTGCACCCTGAAAGGTCAATCAAGGACCTTTCAGAGACTCCGATACTATTGGGATCAAGTCGGAGCACTTGGAAGGCACTCTAGAACAAGACGTCTTTTGGGATTCCAGAGTCAATCAACACTCACTTCACATCCAAATTGGCGTACTGGATTGTGATGACCATGGGATCATTATTGTGGGGGAGAACATCGACTGCGTTTTCTCTTGAAAAAGTGATTACAGGCTCCTGGTCCCTTCCCAGGGTTCTGGTAGTCCTAGCGAGTGTGATGCTTGTGGTTAACACTTGACAGACTTACCTTTTCCAAGAGGAACTAGATTCCTCCCCCGAAGAAACCTCCAGCGATGGTGTTAGTTGTATTCTCCGATGTTTGCTCAAATTTCCTCATGAGAAGATGATGAAAGCAACAATGAATAACAATGTGTGAGACACATATTGGTTTTATCGGGGCCCTACGGTGGTCGCAAACTGTACTTGCTAAAAGTACAAATGCGTGACAACCCACAATGACTAAGATCTATTAAAGGTTTTTAGCTTAGTTGTGAGGTTAAGAGTTAGCTCACATATGAGTGAGAAGCTCTATATGCGTGCATTTCTATTTTAGAGTTAGGTCCCTCTCTCAACTGCGATGTCAGAATATTTATAGCTGCATTCGGGTCTGGATCTAAGGCCTCATGAAAAATAACAACGACTTACTAAATGAACAGTTAATTCTATGATATTCAGAGAGCGTAGATAACTCTCACGTCTTCTTCTACATCATCGTAGACCAAACACACGTCATCCCATAATGACGCGATACAAAGGATTCAAACATATCTGTCCACTTGACATCCATTAACCTTGACCATTTCTTTAGGGTTAAAGCACACTAAAATTTTAAAAGACACCCAAAATATCATAATATCATACGGGAGTCAGACCTTATGTCATATCATCAAAAGGGAGAGTGCTATCTTATTCACATATTGGTCATACTTTTAGCAAGTAGAGTGCTATTATGACAATGTATCATATATTATGACATCAAAAGAAGAATAGTGTCTTATGTATACTATATTCTTTTTCAATAGCCTACAAAATATTACAAGATAAGATTATATTTGCCTACAAAATATTACAAGATAAGATTATATTTTATTGTATCTTTATCCTATTCTTACTACTAATTGATTCTAAGCAAATAATTACCTGAGTTATTATCATAGATAATTTGGTGCCCAGGATTGGTTCAAACTAATCTTATTATTATGTAATTAACTATTATAGGTCGAGATAGAAAAATTGAGTGTAACCTAATGCTTCTACTAGTCCAAGAAAGACATCGAAATCCACTGTCCCACGTATGAGTTGCATTAAAGTATTCTTTTAGGACTTCTATTGTAAATTTGCTTCTCCATCTATTATTCAGTACTATTATATTACTTTTTGAATGGATTAGTATCCTTATTGTTATTAAATTTAATTTAATTGCACATTTGGTATAAGAGTTTGGTCATTCATTTTTCTTAGCCATCTTTCTCTCCTAATATTTTGTAGTTGAGTATTCCTCTCAATTTTCTCCAAAACATAAGTTCATTTAATACTATTTAAAGAAATGTTATTAAAACAGTCTATAATTTTTTTATTATTCATATTTTGCCTTTTGTAGTTGAGTATTCCTCCCATTTTCTCCAAAACATAAGTTCATTTAATATTATTTAAGGAAATGTTATTATAACACACTATAATTTTGTTTATTATAAATCAAGTTCCTCATATATATATATATATATATATATATATATATATATATATATATATATATATATATATATATATATATATATATATAATTAAAATAGCAAACAAATAGATAACAAGTTGCACATCGATTTTTTTTAATGACAAAAAATTAAAACTATATTTATTGTTCAAAGTGACATAACTTTACTATTCATGAGTCTTTATACTTTATATAAAAGATTCACTGTTTTTGGTGTTAAAATATAATAATTATATTATATTTTATTTCAGTATTTGATGATATAATAAGATACGATAAATTAATTTTATCTTATTGTTTTAGTGAAACTTTTTATGATTAAAAAAAGAGAAATTTAATATTATATAAATAAAAAAATAAAAAAATGAATTTGAAATTAAAAAATATAAAAAAATTGCATTTAAATTTTTAAAATATTAATATAAAAAAAATGATTTTATTGTAAATTTTATCATGTATCTCTAATATATATTATGTTTATATTTATATATCTAACACATATAATAAAATTATTTAATTTATTCACGTTTTCTTAAGAAAAGTTGAAATTGATTATTCGATATTTTCAATGAACGTTTTCTTTAAATTTATTTAATTATTTTTAATTTATTAATATTCATGTTTATTTATTAAATTAAAATATTGAAAGATTAATTTTATAAAAAAATAAAAAATTATTTAAATAATCTTATAACTTAAATATAATATATACTCTCTCCATTCTTATAAATTTTAACATTTTAAATTTATTAAATAATTAATTTATCTACTCTATGTATAGTCTAAATTCATCATTAATCAATTGAATTTAAAAAGTCAAAATTTACTTATAAAAAAATAAAAGGAATATTTATTAAATATGTATCTAATATACAAAATAATAAAATAATAAAAATTATATTTCTTATCATCACATGTACATCAAATATATATAATAGGATGCTATGTTTTTTTTTCCATCAAAATAAACATATTTTCCAACTTAAGTTTTAAATGGTTATTAATTATTAGCAAATTATCCATATTAAAAAAAAATATTTGCAACATATAACATACACCAGATGAATATATGTATATATGCGTTAGATCCATTAACACTTATGTGCATTTGTTATATGAACGCGTCAATTAATCTAACACTAATGTTTATATATATATATATATATATATATATATATATATATATATATATATATATATATATATATATATATATATATATATATATATATATATATATATATATATATATATATATATATATATATATATATATATATATATATATATATATATATATATATATATATATATATATATATGGTTTGATGCCAAAATACAATTTTGAGATTATACATTAGTATATTATAAATTTTGTTTAAAATATGAGTAATTTAATATATAGTTAAAAAATATTAAAAAAGAAAATCGGATGCTAAATCTATTATATGACTTTTATATTCTATTCTTATTTAATGTTTTTTATTATATCTTGTCTCTATCCATGTTGCATAGTGTAGTTTAATTATGAGAGGGTAAAAAAATCACAAAAATAATAACAATAATAATAATAATAATAATAATAATAATAATAATAATAATAATAATGCAATTAAGCCAAAGTATTAATATTAACATTGTTGTTAATTCCTAATTTTGTTGATGGCTGTCTAAACCAAATTTATTTCTTTCAGTTCCACAAGCAAAGCAAAGCCTCTTCTACAATCCTCTCTCTCTCTCTCTCTCTCTCTCTCTCTCTCTCTAGAGCAAGCAAGGAACAAACCAAACCAAAACATGTCTTCCCCAAGCAAGAGACGAGAGATGGACTTGATGAAACTGTTGATTCTCAACTTTTCAATTTCACTTTACTTTCATTCAAGTTCTTATTTTTTTTCTAATTGGGTATCTTAATTTCACCCTTGATTGATGATTCTCTTATTGTTTAGGATGATGAGTGATTACAAAGTGGAGATGATTAACGATGGAATGCAAGAGTTTTATGTTCATTTTCATGGACCTAATGAAAGTAAATTAATAATTACCCTTTTTCTCTCTTTATTTTTTCTCCTTTTTCACTCATCCTTGTTGAATATTTTTGGATTTTTTGTTTTTTTTGTTTTTCTTTTATTTGACTTGATTTTGACTTTGGTTACTATGGATTTAGATTTGTGTAGCAACTAGCATCTGAAAGATTCTTTGTTTTTTTTTTTTTCATTCTTGTTTTGCTTATTGGTTTGATTGTTAAGTGGATTCTGCATAATAGATTTGTGAAGCAACAACATGGTTGGTTCTTATTGATTTCCTTTTTGGTTGTTATTGTTTTCTTAGCTTTGATAGAACACAGATTTTTAGTACCTATGTTGCTGATTTTTAGTTTTGTTTTGTTGTTCTGCCATGGTTGTTGATGTTAAACTGAGAAAGGTGTTGTTGGTGTGTTATGCACCTTGCATTTTTCAAGTTCTTATTTGTGTGATGGATTTTGACAGGTCCTTATCAAGGAGGTGTGTGGAAAGTAAGAGTTGAGCTACCGGATGCTTATCCTTATAAATCTCCTTCCATCGGCTTCATCAATAAGATCTATCACCCGAATGTTGATGAGATGTATGAATATGAATCTTGTTTGAATAATTTACCGTGCGTGTTAATTTTAAGAATAGGTTAATGTTAGATTGTCGTGGATGATGATAATTGCAGGTCAGGATCGGTTTGTCTTGATGTTATCAACCAGACCTGGAGCCCCATGTTTGGTAATGATCTGTCTTCAAACCTTTTGATGAAATATGATTTCATTCCTTTACAGATTGACTATGGTGGCTGTCGAAAAATCCGCTGTGCCTTTAAGAAAGGCCGCAATTTAACGATACTGGATTTGATTCATGTTTTTCATTTTGATGTTTTTTGGATTGTTGTTATATGTCGAAATCCGCTTTCTTTCAGATCTTGTCAATGTATTTGAGGTGTTTCTGCCACAACTCCTTTTGTATCCAAATCCATCGGATCCGTTGAATGGAGAAGCTGCGGCGTTGATGATGCGTGACCGGCCTACTTATGACCAAAGGGTTAAAGGTATTGTTGCTCCTCTTCCATCACAAGTCGTTATTTGCTAACAGAACTGATGTTTTAATCGTTGTTACATCTATTTTGCAACTTCCTCCTGTGATTCCGTCAAATCCTAAACAGAAAAGTGAGGCTTATACGGTATTCTCTAGATGCATACAGTGCTATCTTGTTATCCCTGAGTCATTTTCTCTTGCAAATCTGACCTATATTGATCTGTGGGTCTAGTTGTATATAAGATGTTAATGATGTCAAAACATAAACTTCAATCATCATACATACCCCCTTGTTCACTCAAATTCACTCCTTATCATAGGAAAAGTTGTATTTCATTTTTCCCGTTCAGTCTTCTGTCATGTGTATTGTGTTACGTATGAAGTGTCCAAGCATGCCAATGACACTAAAACTATAGACATGGGCATTGTCTGAAACGTAGGATACAGAGATATGATTCGCACAACAAAATGTGTATGTATGGAGCGTGTTAGTTGAGACTTAATCTCAATATTTCATATGTCACTTTGTAAGAGAAGTTCAATAGTATTTGCATCAAAGTCGCGAACCAATTGATTTTGTTTGTTGTTTGAATATGGTCTTGCATGACTCGAAATTGAGTATCTATGCATGTATATCAGAGTCTCAACATTTGCTCATGTTTTTTCTGCTACCAATTTTCAGAGTACTGCGAGAAATACGCCAAGCCAGAAGACATCGGAGCTGCGACAGAAGAGAAATCCAGTGATGATGAAGATGAGGAGCTAACTGAAGATGAATATGATTCTAGTGATGAACAGGTGGCTGGTAAAGCAGACCCTTAGCCTTGTGTATGCAAGTTCTGTTCTCTCTGTATTTTATCTGTACATTATGTTCTAGTTATGTTCTCACCTCATTCAAATGAATGTACTTGGATATTGGTAGGGGGAAAATTCCCCTTCAAGTTACTTTATTTTCTCAATGTAAATAATGTACCATTGATTTCATGATGCAATCTTATTTCTTGTTAACTGAGTTTTTGAGTGTGTTAATGATTGTCACATAGGATTAAGAAATTCACTTAATAGTTTGAAATTATATGCATATACTTTATACAACATCTTCTAATCATATTTATTTTGTTGCATCATAATATCATTTAAAGATTTAGTTATTTTGTTGCAAGAATATACAATATAATTAGATGTTTGTAAAACGGTATATTATTAGATTTAATTTCCTTAGGAGATTTTAGTAATTAAATTATTTTGCTTAAATTTCTTGCCCTTCAATCCATGTAGCAAGTTTTTAATAGAACATTGTAGCTTTGTTCGAGACCCAAGAATGGGCCTTGTGGGGAGGGGGAGCGAATTCCCGAAGACAAATTCTCGAAGTCACCTTAGAGACGGGGATCGGGAACGAGGAACAGGCACTTTAGGATGGGGACGAGGAACAAATCTCCCATCCTGCATCTTGTTGCGGCGTCTTTGTCGCATAGATTACTATTGTTCTGGGTTGCCCATATGCGATTTAAAATTAGTGCACATAAAAAGTAAGATACACTTTCCGATTTTTACTTTTTACTATACTCATCTTGAATCTTTAACGAGCGTTGGAATGATAACCATGCTTGTCGATTCTATGCCGCTGCATCGGAGATCAGCATCACAAGTTCAAGATCTTCAGTTCAACTACGACATCTAATTTTGGTTTCTCAACGAAACAGTGAAACCATTTGTAAGAATCGATTTTTGATTCCTGCGTTTTTCATGATATCGTGTTTGCTCTTCAATTCGCCAATGCAGGACTTCCGAGGACCACCAAATCAAGAGCGATCATAATCGAATGCAATCATAATCGAATGCAAGTACCCTTCGTAATCGATCCAATCAATCATCTTTTCAACTACGGGTAATTAAATTTTCGGACATCAAATTTCGCGAGAACAAATGATCCTAGATCCAAATCCAAATCTATTCTAGAATTACCAAATAATGAAGGTAATTTCCTTCAAGATAATATTGAAGATTCTTGGTCAACATTCTAATCTCGCATTACCTCAATCATCTGTCACTGACACAATACTTACTGTGGCGACTTTGAAGATACGGCGAGTCCATAACCACTATTGACGAGGATCCGTCACTAGAGCATCTTCTCCAGGTAATAAAGGACCTCCAAATGATGAACGGGGATGGCCTCAGGCCAGATCTGCTAGATTATGATGAAGCTCATAGTGCAACTAAAGCTACAAAGTCTCAGCAAAATGGAGAGAACTTGTTGCATAAAATTATCTGCAATTTAAGTCGTGATCTCCGTAGATAGTGTTGCACACTGCCATAACGATAAATTTTGACCACCCCGACACTACTATGCCTTATCCTCAACACTTAGATCCATAACGCAGTTGTTCTCAGTAGGGACCTCCTGATCAGATGTCTCTTCCATATGGATGTTGAACAATGCGTTAAGAAATAAAGATGTTTGGGCGTAAATACATTCGAAGAACGTGGAGGGCGATCAAACTATAGCTACGAGCCGCCTGACGATCACAACAGTTTTCACCAATGCAAGAGTCTGTACGATATAACTCAAAACCAATGTTCTCTGAGCATCAATGTTCGGTTCGACGTGGCTAAACTACCAGACCTTCATTGTTGAGCCCGTAAAATAACAAAAAGTCACGGGATACACATAAGGGAACAACACCCCGTGCTATAACGACGGGGAAACGAGATCTCATCAAAGACACCTCTGGTCGAGAGTTATATTTAATCCTTTGGCCGACATTACTGTTCTATAAACAAATGATCAGAATCCGACCATATGTCAAAAGGAAAGCTCCCAAGTATTCTATAAGAATACCTCAAATCACACCTCAGTTAACTAGAATGAGTATCCGCACTAAGTTAAGAGGGGAGCGAGGATGTTGTCGTCTCGTTGGTCAAAAGGCATTGCGTGGAATATTCGAGAAGAGGATTCTCTAGCTCTAAAATTTCAATGGTTGCCCTCAAGTTGGTCGACCGTCCCGTGGTACCCGTCATATAGGAAGATCCAGAGACATCTGAGGTGGACCATTATCATGTCGGGTAGACAAAGATAAGGTCGGCGACGTTGACGCACCAACCAACTGAACAGGATATGATAGAAAAGAGGACATTGTATCCCTACCTCTCCTTTTATTAGTTAGATACTCTATAATATTGTTACACAGTTTCGATAATTGATATCTTAATTTTTAAATATTGCAATAAAAAAGAATACTACGTGTTTCATGCAAAATGGGGTGAGTAAATCCTTTAAGACAGGTTTCACTTCCAAAGAGTACTATTCTCAACGTAGTTGTTTCCCCCTTATTCAGATCTAACCAATCCAAGGGCGTTAAGCGATGGAGCCCGAAGACGTTCACTTAATATGAGTCATACTTTGGAGACATGGACATGGATCATACCTTTGGCTGGTATACCTTCCTCTGTGACTCGGAGCACAACACAAAGACATAACGACATCTCACCTGGTACAAACTCCACCGCAAGAAAAACGAATAAAGACACATTCATTCAATGAATGCTAAATACAACAAACAAATATACACTGAATCAATGGACACTAATTACAATGAACAAACACATCAACCAAACATAGTAGCTAACATCATTTAATGCGTTAAGCAACAAATTACAAAGACCATTGTCAGGCAAGTTTAAAAGCACATTAGGTACTTCGGCGTAACTAGCACCTCTTTTCCTCCTAAAGGTCATCTGTAAGGGTTTTCACCCTCAACGTAGACAATACTTTTCAAGTTCTGTGGCACAAACTCGCCGTTCATTGGTGAACACCGACAACGCCCATGTGGCAAACAAACTTTACATTTAAAGGGTGACAAGCAAACCCTGGCGCTACAATATTAATTATCGTTACATCTAAGGCACAAAATCTAGGAAACGTTATAAGTAAAAAGGAAATAAAATAAAGAAAAAGATCATTAATCAATCTGCAACGTCTGGAGCCGAAGTACCCGAATTACCCTATGGAGTCCCTTTGGGAGAAGCCTGGAAGGGGTTTAGCTCATTGACATGAATATGAGCAGAGGGGTAGAATCTCCTCGACTGTTCCACGACCTGATTGCGCACCCCAAACACGACACGCATAGCCTATTGAAAGGAATCATGGAATGAAACTCTCATACTGACAACCTCATCTTCAAGAGCCTTCAAAGCCTCAACATGAGCCCCAGCCTCCTGTTGAAGAGTTTTTCAGTTCTCCTCCGCCTGATGGGTCATCTCAGTCACAACACTATAGGCTTCTTGATGCCGCTTCCTTTTCGCCTCAAGAGCAGTCTCAATTCAGTTTCTCGTTTAGCTAGAGTAGAAGAAGAATCATGGGTTTTCGCCTCCTCTTGTAAAGAGTCAGCAAGCTCCATCTTTTTAGCCCTTGAGAGGTTTCAGACGAAGAACAGTAGCAGCCTCATCGGGAGTTCAAGCAAGCTGGGAAGAGAAAATGTTAGGCATTTGCAGGAAGGGAGTCGTCGACTCTGTGCCATCATCCCTGGATATACAGGTCCCTTTTAGGGAACCCTCCTCTAGAGGGAGTGTTGATCCTCATCACAAACCCTCTTTGTTGGGACAGAAGACTGTGGAGTCTCTTCCAGAGTTAATATGGTCATACCACTGACAAACTGGTTGACCCTGAGGGCAACAATATCAGTCTTGGTGGCCGAGAGAAGAGTGAGGGTCAGAGCAGGAATCATGGTCTTAGGAGGAGGCACCACAGTCTGGCCAATAGGACCAGTCTTAATACCTTGAGCACTTACAAGGTTGTAGAATATTTGTAACTTATCCATGTTATTTGCGAAATGAAATCACACATGCCAAAAAAAGCTATAGGACTTCGTCTTCACATAAAATTTCCCTGCTCTCCTCCTAGCTAACAAAATTCACAATTGCACGAGTATTGATTAGTTTCTTCTACACCACGGTGGAAGGCACCTCACCGGGGCCAAACCCTTCTTAGTAGCTAAGCTCTTAGAACCAAGAATGTTGGTTTTCCTTCATCGCTACCTTGTTAGGTAAAAATGACTTAGCTTGTGCGGAAGAAACGGACATCCTGGTTGAAATGAGCTAAGGACCAATACCTGAAGAACACACCCTTGCATAAACTTGAAGATTCAGTAGAGGAGTAGAAAAAGGTGAGATGAGCCTTGAATGTAAGGGGTCTCACCAGTAAGAAACGCCTTATGAAATCTCCCCAATTTTGGGTGAAGTGATCGAACCAAGGATCATCAGGGTGGAAACTAATGAGCCCTTGGTGGCGGTAGTTGTCTCGAGAAGTGCGAATCAGGTAGAATAAGTTGAAAAACAACTTAAGTGAAGGCTCCCATGACTTATGCACAACGCACAACTATAATGCTCTCATGTAGGCCCATGATCTTAGATGTAGATGAGAGGGGGCAACCTTTAAATTCTTTAGGACGACCACTTCAAAATCAGAGAAAGGAAACCGCAATCGTATCCTAATAAACATGCACTCATAAAGCGGGACCAAATAATCATCAAAAGATTTGCATATCCTTTTCTATGGGCCCGTAGGAAGAGTCGACCAATCTTGAGGATCGCTAACCACAACGCCGATAACCTCTATTGCTGCTTCAGTATTCAGAACGGACTGGGTACCTACCAGTGTCATACCTCTCCAGGCCAGGTGGTCGTCTTTAGAATGTTCTCCAAGTGTGATCTAAGACAATATATTTGACCTACCCCGAAACTCTAAGTGGGCTATCACTTCAACGTCGTTAGGCTCACGATTGTTAATTCTCAGGTAAAAGCTAGATGAAATCATCAGCGCG